CAATTTGCTCTACAGGCAAATGCATTAATATTCCAAATACCAGAACACTGCCGAGATCTTGCCATTAAAATAATGTGTGTTCATTATTACTTGCCTTGTGGTTCTAATGGCACACTGCATGTTCCTTTACCTATATGCCCTAATGTCTGCTCGTACATGTCAGAAACATTGTGCCCCGATATCTGGTCATTTGTTGTGAAATTTCTTGATTCGAATCAAGTTACACCAGGTTATAGATATGATGAAGGAATCAAGTTACCAGTTTGTAATAATACAGCTAAATTGATTGATTACTTGAACCTCACTAGTGACTGTTGTTCTGATGGGGGCATTAAAGTACCTCAACCAACTAAAACAACAACAAAAGGTAAACTATTAGACTATTATACAAACTAAATAATCAACATGAGTATTCGTAGTATTGTAACTGTATCTCTAGAGTAATTATTAATTTCATAAGTGCATTTTATTACTTCTAGTGATTAATACATCCACTACACCTGTCCCACATTCCACAACTATTCAAACAACTAGATCCACACCTCTGATTCCTGCCATTGGCACACCATCTGCCTCAAATCAGCTAACATCTGCCTTGATACCAGGAATGATCAGTATTTTATTAATGTTGCTGGTAGTGTTGGCAATAGTATTATCTGTTGCTTGTTGCGTTAAAAAGGCAAGGAATCGTAAACAACTCATGAATAAAGAGTTTTCCATTAAAACTAATTGTTCACTACGTAAGTCAACTGACAAATATTTTTGACACTTTACTTTACTACTATCTACAATTTACTTTTATGTAATGCATCATAAACAATTTGTAGTTTTGAAAAGCAACAAAGAAAATATCTACTTCTCCGACAAAACTTTTGAGATATCATCTGATTACACGAATCAGTTGTCAAAGTATATAATATCAGGCTCAAGCATTAATGTGCAGGAGACTGCTGGTCAAGGTACATTAAGTTTTGATTAATCATAATGATAATTGCAACCATTCTTGTACACTTTAAGGTGAGTTTGGTATAGTTTATCGTGGAGTGATGACAAGAGAGAATCAAATGCCACAACCAGTTGCAGTCAAGACATTAAAAGGTAACTGTTTAGATCAAATTTACAGATGAGTTAGATGCTGTATTAAAATAATGCTTAAACTTGTTTATTACAGGTTTTTACAGTAAGAGTGATGTTGATTCTCTACTGGATGAGTGCATTATAATGATGTCATTTGATAACTTAAATGTATTACCACTGATTGGTGTGTGTCTTGATCTTGGACCAGCTCCATACATTATCATGCCTTTCATGTCAAGAGGAAGTTTATTGTCTTACCTCAAGAAAGAGAGACCTAATCTA